CAATCTGTCTAGAAAAATAATTAATTGGTCTTTCAGTTATTGAAATGTAATTTTGATTATCCTCGTGTGCACTATGTACTGTTTCATCTACGCTGTTAGCAACTTCTCCTAACATGTTTTCTTCTATTTTAACCCTAGATTATGCATCAGCTACATAATTTTCTTTTCCTGGCAAGTATTTTATTTGATAATTCATGTTTGGTTCTTTTATGTTACTCAACCAAACTAAGGGTTTGTGATCACTTAAGATTTCGAAAGGTCTGCCAAACAAGTATGATCTGAAGTATTTTGTAGCCCATACGATAGCTCGAAGTTCTTTTTCTATTGTAGAATAATTTATTTCGTGTTCGTTTAATGTTCTATTGGCTTATGATTTTGTGATAGGACTGCTCCTATGGCTGTATTGCTAGCATCTGTGGTTAAGGAAAATATTTTATCAAAGTCGGGATATATTAATATGGGATCTGAAGTAATTAAGGTTTTCATTTTTTCGACATATGTTTTTTCTTTAATATTAATTGAGACTGCTTTCTTTAATTTCATGGTCATAGGTTTAACTACGTTTGCAAAACTTGGTATAAATTTCCTATAAAATCCACATAGTCCTAAAAATGATTTTATCTCCTTTGGAGTTTTTGGTATAGGGAAATTTATAATGGCACTGATCTTTTTAGAAATGCTGTTTCTTTTTTCATGAATTCGCATTTATCTAATTGTAATTTTAAATTTGCATCGCGTAACTTTTCAAATACTTTCCTTAGTGATCAAATATGTTCTTCCAATGAAGTGGAAAAAATGATTATATCATCTAAGTAAACTAAACAATCTTTATAAATTAATTCTTCTAATAAATTGTTCATACATCTTTGGAACGTAGCGGGAGCATTTTTGAGCCCGAATGGCATTCGTGGTATCGGTAATGGCAATTTTTTGTTGAAAATGCTGTTTTAGCGATTGAATAGGGATCCATTTGAATTGGATGGAATCCTTTTGCTAAATCAATTGTTGGAACATTAGAACATCATAATTGTTTGAAAATTGGACAAACTTTACTGGGTTTTATTATTACACTCTTTTTTAATTCTAATAATCTATTTATCGTAAAGACTTTTAATTTTTCATTGTTAATTTCAAGATCCCCAAAATTTTCGTTCCTTATGTTGATAGATGAACCTGTGTCTACCATGGCTTTAAGAAGTTTACCTTTTATGCCTACTCTAATAAAGGGGTAAAATTTTCTGGCCCCGAGGCTGTTTGCTGAAAATTTACATTCATCCTTTTCTGTGTGCTATCGCTTTCTTTTTGTCTTTTAACAGGTGCACTTGGAGAATTATTGGACGTTGATGCTTGGTAATTTAGCGAGTTTTGAGCTCTGCCTTGGGCTAGAGAATTTCTAAATTCTTGATAATAACGATTTTGATTCGTTGAGGACTGAGGAACTGTTGAATTATTAAAATTTGGATTTGGATTTGAATACGAATTTGAATTTGAATGACTGTTAAAATTATTACTGTGTCTTGGGTAATAATTTTAATTATTCTTTTGATGATAATAATTTTGGTGTGTATTTCCCGAATTCTTGCGATTATCGTAACGCACCGATCTATAGCTCTCAAAAGGATCTGCATCCCAATGTCCTAATACCATTGTTGTTTCTTTTAAATTATTAATTGTGGAAATATCCCTTTTTGACAATGCATTAAATAATCTATCTGGAAGTTTCCTTTCTATGCATCTTTGAATGGTTTTATTTAATGATGCTGTATAAAATGATTTATCAGTGGGGTCTGTCTCTAATTCTAACTTATTAATCATATTTGCGGATCTACGTTTTAGCTCGTCTACGAAGTTACTGATGCTTCCTCTGTAGGTCGTCTGGTTTATGTTGTCAACGAGGTCTTCATATGGTCTATGGTCCTTGAATGGTCTAATTAAGGCCACTTTCGTAGAAATCCAGTTCATCGTCTTCTCCTCGGATAAAACAGCTTTAGCTCTCTAAAGCTCCGTAGATGATGTGTGTTTGACGAACGTCCTGAGTCGGTTATAACTGCAGTAGATATTCAACCCCTCCGATATATCCGCCTAGATCAGCGGGATTGCTATCGAAATAAGGGAATTCTTTTATCTGACCAACTAATTGGTTCAGATGAATTTCGGATAACTGGGGTGAATTTGCCATTTTTGTTTTTGGTTTTCACAAAGTTTTTCAATATTTAACTTTTAATGAGATTGACAGAATTGGACGACGGTTCGCACATAAGTTCTTTGGCGGATTTCACTACTAGTTGTATAGTACAATCCCTAAGGCCAGTTTAAAACCGACGTTTAACTTTCACTTGAAATCCTACCGGCTGCGCCAATGAAATATTCTTACCGTAAGTTTGATATAAAACAAAAACTTTATTTAATTTTTATTTAAACCGATACAATTTTGTTTTCTATTTGGAAGACCTGATAGTTATAAGTCTCAAACTGAACTCGCTGTCTAACTCCTACTTTATCTACGATCAAGCTTCGTTTCTGAGCTTTGGAGCTTTTTAATGAGTGGTTTTAGTGTTTATTGAGTGACTCTCATAATTGTACTTTGGACCGTTCTTTGTTCTCATCTTGTTTATGATTTCGGTCCCGAAATCTGAGTATCCTGAATCGTGGGAAAGGTCCGATAGTCAGATCAGCGGCTTATTCAAATTGTTTAGTCTATTAGTCTGGAGTTTTTAATAACATGGATATTTATACCCGTTACTCGTAGAGTAAAAGGGTATATTGTATTCGTGCAAAAGTATGTAACAGCTAGAAGGAAGCGTTTCCGACCCTATAAAGTATATATATTCTTGATCAGGGGACTAGCCGAGTCGATATAGCCATGTCCGTCTGTCCGTCTGTCCGTCCGTATGAACGCTGAGATCTCGGAAACTATAAAAGCTAGAAGATTGGCATTTTGCATGCAGATTCTAGGAGTTCCTACGCAGCGCAAGTTTGTTTCAAAAAGGTGCCACGCCCCCTTTAACGCCCACAATCGCTTATATACGATTTTAAAAATTTTAATATTTCGGAAAAGTAAAAATGCAGTTTTATTGTGTTTATCAATACCTATCGAAAAGTTATGCGTGATCAAAGTTTCTATCTCCATCTCCCTCGCACTCCCTTTACCTGAGTAACGGGTATCTGATTGTCGGGGCACCCGACTATAGCGTTCTCTCTTGTTTCCATTGGTTTGTTTACAATTAGGTTTCGATTTCTCTGAGGGTGTCTTAAAGTAATATGTACGTGTGTATGTGTGGGTGTGTAGACATGTACATAGAGGTTTGTGGTGCTATGGATATGTCACTATATATAAATAAGCAACTCTGCGACTACTGGTGTTGAAGATATTCTGATTTCAGTAGGTAGGGTTAAATTTGGTGTCAACTTGAATTTTAAAATCATTTCTTGTACTATGGACACTCATTAAAGATCAAGTTGGTCCCAAACAAGAAAGGAAGCAAACTTCGGCAAGCCGAATTTTATATACCCTTGCAGTTATTACAAATCGACTACATTTCGATTTTTATGCCTTTATTGCTAAAAACAATGAAGCTATGTCGATTTTGCGCTTCATTTTGCCATCGTTTCTATGGCAGCTATATGATATTGCTATCCAATTTCAATATTAATATTTAAATATTACCAAATCCCAAAGAACATAAAAAACAAAAAACAACAAAGTTATATATTTTTTTAATTGTTTTTTCCGAATGTTTCTATGGGAGCTATATGATATAGTCGCCCAATCCGGCTCCTTCCAAATTATCTACTACTTGCAATGGAAAGACAATTTTTTGGAAAGTTTCAGGCAGATAGCTTTAAAACTGAGGGACTAGTTTGCGTAGAAACGCACAGACGGACGGACAAACGGACATGGGTAGATCGACGCTCCTGGTGATGCTGATCAAGAATATATATATTCTATAGGGTCAGAAATGTCTCCGTCACTGCGTTACAAACTTTTGACTGAAATTATAATACCCTCTGCAAGGGTATAAAAATAAATCGACGACAGATTCAAAGTGGAAATTAATATTTAATAAATCTATTTCTCAAAAGTTGGCATTACCATTAAAGAAAAGTTCGACGGGGTTGCATTTTATTGATTGATTTTATTGATTTATTGATGATTATAGTTATGATAGCCATATTCTATGACTAAGTAAAAATTTTCTTATATGTACCAGTGCTCAATAACAATTCTAAATTAGGTTTATAGTTAAGTCTGAAGAACACACCAAAGTTATCGCATTTCTGATCGTTCAGGTATATAGCAGCTATACGATATAGCCAGTCCCATCTTTCTAACATAAGAAACACCAAAGCAATGGCATTGCCGATCAATCAGTTATATGAAAGCTGTACGATATAGTCAGCTGATCATTATCATTGTAAAACCCGTATGGGTTTTCCCAACATCCTAACTTTAAAAACAGCAAAGTTATGGCATTTCCAATCGTACAGGTTTGTGGCAGCTATAAGATATAGTTGGTCGATCCTTGTGAAATTCGGATTGATTGGCCAAAAATAAAACCCATAGAAAATCCCAACTTCCTAATTTTACAAACACCAAAGCTATGGCATTTCCGATCAATCAAGTATATGGCGGCTATAGGATATAGTCGGCTGATCCCGGCCGTTCCGACTTGCGTGCAAAGGAACGAAGGGTGTGTGCAAAGTTTTAACTCGATATGTTTAAAACTGAGAGACTAGTTCGCGCAGAAACAGACAGAGGGACATGTTTATATCAACTCAGGACGCGATCCCGATTAAGAATATATTTACTTTATAGGGTCGGAGATGTCTCCTTCACTGCGGTGCACACTTTTGACCAGAATTATAATGCCCTCTGCTAGGGTATAAAAATGTATAGTAGTAATAGTCTAATAATAAACCGTATTTATTTAACTATTAATTATATTGTATATTGAACAAAAATTAAAGTCGATTTCTGGATTTAATGTACAATTATATATTTATTATTTTCCAGATATGTTGACGAGCTATTATATTGGTCGGGTCGTAGAATGATTTTAGACGAATATTTGCAAGGAGACTTATCGCCAACCAGATTACCTCCATCTTGGGTAAATACTCAGAAGTATGTATTTCAATCGGATGATGGAGGGCTGGCTATATTGGATACATCTACAAACTTAATTAACGTACTAGTGACCAATCATACTCTTCGTCAATTAAATGTTCAAGGATACGCATGCTCCCGCGATCTTAAATATTTCTTATTTAAGCACAATGTAAAAAAAGTAAGAATTATTTGTTTAAGGTTGGTTAATAATAATACAACGTCTTTCATTAGAATTTTCAGAAGTCCTTTACAGCATTTTATACAATTTATGATGTTGAAAATGATCACCACATGCCAGTCAAATTAAAAGACTCCTTAAAGGTTCAAAGAACTCGTCTTCAGTATGCAACATGGCTTGGCAATACGACAGCAATTATATTTGTTGTGGAAAACGATATATTTATCCGAGAGTCCCCTTTAATGGAAGAAGATATAAGAATCACCTCTTCGGGACATGAAAACCAAATATATAATGGTGTTCCTGATTGGCTTTACCAAGGTAAAGATTATATGATGATTATGATTTAAGTTTACACGTACCTAATAGAAAAAAATTCACTGTGGACGGCAGTACACATAGTGACAAAGAATACATACGGCGATGTATTCCGATATATTCAGCCGATTTATTTGCCCAATTTTTTCAAACGACATTCTCTACTTTAGATTATTCATCACAGCCTTATTCTTACACCATATCCTCATATTCTGTCCCACTTTAACAGAAAGTTCTCTTCTTTTGGATCTTCTTCGTATTAAGCCTGTTTATTCGCCAGGGCCCGATGGTGTCCCAGGGTGCGTGCATAGGTATTGGGCTAAGGCCCTGTGCAAACCTCTTCACAAGTTTTTTACCTTATCTCTAGAAACTTCCCAATTCCCAAATATTTGGAAGGAATTTTTTGTTATTCCTCTTTTCAAAAAAGGTAACAAGTTAGAAGCCAGTAACTACAGAGGTATTTCTAGGTTGTCAGCTATTTCTAAGCTTTTTGAAAAAATCATAACTCCTCATTTGCAGCACCTTTGTAGATCAATCATTTCTCCGTGTCAACACGGATTTATTAAACGTAGGTCCACAATCACTAACCTTCTAGAGCTTACTACATTTGTGATAAAGGGGTTATATAGTAGTTTTCAAACAGATGTCATTTACACTGACTTTAGTAAATCACTTACTTCTAGTTCAAAAACTTGATTTGTTAGGATTTCCAGTTGATCTTCTTAGATGGATCTCAAGTTATGTGAAAAGTAGGTCACAAATGGTCCTTTTGAAAAAAATCAATTTCTAAAATTCTCCGTGTTACCTCCGGTGTTCCACAAGGGAGCCATCTGGGTCCGTTACTTTTTACATTATTTATTAACGAACTTCCTTCAATTATAAGTCATTTTCGCGTTCTTATGTACGCAGATTATGTTTAGTTATGCCTGCAATATAAGGATATTTCCTGCCATTTAGACTTGCACTCCGATCTAGATAATTTTCAAAACTGGTGCCGAGATAATTTACTAAATTTAAACGGTTCCAAGTGCAAGCTAATGACTTTTTATCGGGCCAATCCGATATACGTTAAGTGGCAGTTCTTTGGATAGAATAACTCTTGTAAACGATCTTGGCGTTCTTTTGGACCCTAAACTAAAATTTTTTAATCACATTTCGTCCATGGTTAATAAAGCCAGAGGAGTGCTTGGATTTATTAAAAGGTGGTCAAAAGAATTCGATGATCCTTATTAAACTAAAACTTTATTTATTTCGTAAGTCCGTCCGATTCTGGAGTATGGGTCTCCCGTCTGGAGTCCACAATACGGAATGCATATTGGTCGTATTGAATCTGTACAAAAAAACTTCCTTCTTTTTGCTTTACGGCGCCTAAACTGGGATGAATATCTTAACTTACCTTCTTATTCTAGTAGACTTCTGTTGATTAATTTACCCTCTCTAGCCAACCGTAGAAACATGCTTGGTACTATCTTTATTTATAACCTTATAATACATGCTCATATTGACTGCCCCGACTTGGTAAGTCGGCTAAACTTTTCTGTGCCAAGTAGATTAACTAGAAATTATATTCCCCTAATTTTAAATCATTGTAGATCTTACCATGCCTTGCATGAGCCTTTCAGAGTTTTATGTTCTGACTATAATAGACGTTTTACAGGATAATCTCAAATCTTGACTCTCTGCCGCTTCTAAAACGAGTAATACTTGCTTCAATGGGACAATATTGATCTTACTATTACTCTTTTCCCCGGACCTTTACCTATCCTTTCTTACCTTGCGTCTATCTTTTTGCGAATCATGCCGTACGATACAGGGCTGCGCCTCTCGGTCGGCTAAGCGGTAAGTGGGCCGTGAGACTCCGCGAAAAAAAAAAAAATCAAGAAAAATCTGCTATAGTGGTCCGATCGGAACGATTGAAACACCAAATGAAAGGTATAGCTGATTCTAATAAGCGTGGACAACAACTTCTTATTCTTAAAACTAGTCGATGGTCGTCCGGAGCGCTCCAAGTATCACTTATAAACATTTTTCTGGGGCATGGTAGAATCATCCAAGGCCTTCCGCAACGTCATCAACGTTTCCACAGCCGAAATTTCATTCCGCAAACAAAATTTGATGGCACTTCTATGATCAATTAAGTCAGACATTTTAAAATCGAAAAATGCACTCTTGCTCTTTTGGTAAACAGAAGCGTAAATAGTACTGATACTGACATTGATATGAAATTACCACCCAGATGTCATCAACAGTCCTGCCAACTCAGAAAAGAACTAGTCCGAAATGTTGAGCCCGCGAATTTTAAATTAAAAATTCACCTTACTTTTTGCCCACAGTAAATTTAACACTGTACTCCAGTATGTTTTACTTAGAATAATAACATACTCCTATTTATATTTATTTTGATTTTGTGTTTTATTTAGAACAAAAATGTATATTTTTATAACAAATTTTTAACTCTATTTCACTTTGGTTTTTAATGGCAAAGTGATTAATGTTGCTTGAAAAGAACGGGATTAATAAAGAAAGTCAATTATTAAAACCTATTAATTAAAATGTGTAAGTAATTTGTAAAAGGCCGCATTAGTTTCTCGCTCTTACATGTGCAACATGTAAATATGCTAAAATCTTCTTGTCGCTGTGTCTGAATTTAATAACTGGCGAGCATCGGCCAGCAGTAAAATGCAAAAGCTCAGAAAAGTATAATCAAAACACAACCATGTAAATTTGATTTGATTTGACCAGTGACGAATTCACTAAATAAACAGGCAAGATGGAACAAGGTATGATATGAACACTATAAGGAGTATTTACCCTGCATTCTGATTTGGCATCTAGAACTGGAACTTATTCTTTCTTTTCCCACAGAATTAGAAAACACTCAGCCCCCGTTTTAACACGTTTTTTTTCAGAAAGTGTCTATTAAAATCCACTTATGAGTTTTATTTTCTTTAGCTTGTGGCTTTGCACTAAATGTGTATTTTATCTCAGCTTAGTTGGTCTTGATTTTAAGAATAGAATAGTTTCGTAACCAAAGAATAAAAAACCATGTACGCCTGTTGGTTAGAGTTAATTTTTTTTCAGACAACTGGTATTGATGGCGGTGGAAATTAAAAACAATGAACTTGGTCGTGAGTTTAGCAAGTTACCCCGAAACGGAAATATGGCTCAGCCAAAACTGACAAAAATCTAATCCTTTGCATAGTATTTTTCGATTAATATTCCTTAAAGGTCTTCGAACTCATTATAGGTTAACCCTAGCTTTCTCCTTATTCTAACTTTCACAAAAGTTGGCGCTAGTTTAGCATTAAAACCTTTCACAAACTTGTTTTTTTGAAAGTTTCTTTTTACAACTCCTGGTCCACGGAAAATGATACTTCTCGGCTTCTTAAGTTATACGATTTTACATTCCAAAGTTGCTGTTGGACTTAAATAAATTGTACTCCATTGTCGCAGACGATGGGGTATACCAAAACAAAGAAATAAGTCTTCGCCTAAATAATTTAGGATAGCTGTTAGGCTTTTTACTGGCTTAAGGGGGTATATACCTTTTTTTGTCGAAAAAAATAGGAAAGTTTGGATTTTTTTATGTATGTAACTATTGTTTTTATTAAATGAATGATTATATTTTCAGAAAGTTTAGATTGTTGACAATGTTTAAGCAAAAAATTTTGAAAAAATATTTAATAGTTTTTAAGGTGTGGCTGTTTCCCTTAAACGCTTTTTTTAAAGATCCTTGTGGTGATAATTCCCCAGGACGAACGGGTCAACTGATACCGAGAAAATAAAAATATTTCATTAGTTTAAAGTAGTATCCTGTACTTGAACGAACGTTTTTAAAATTTTTTACGGGAACGTTTTATGCAAAAAATGACGTTTTTGGACGCTAAAATTCTTACAAAACTATCTATTTCGGCGAAATAAAAAACGATCGTTCAAGTACTAATAAAATTCATTACAAACATTGAAAAAAAAATTTGAAGAAAATCGGTTCATTAGTTTTTCGCCAATCCATATCACCGCAAAGTCATTTTTCAAAAAACACCATTTCGAGATATTCGCGTTTAAAGTTTCAAGTTTGGGTTTGGGCGGAGACGAGGCGCGTATCTAGGAGCGCTGTAACTTTTTTTCTACTGATCAAAACTCTATGAAAATTTGGGAAATGTTCCCAGGAGTTGTTCTTTAAGATAAAGCAAAAAAAAATTTTCGATTTTTTGAAAATGGAAAAGGTATATATATACCTTATATACCCCCTTAAAAAATGGCAAAATTCCACTATAAAGAATATATATACTTTATAGGTTCGGAGGTGTCTCCTTCACTGCGTTGCACACTTTTGACCAAAATTATAATACCCTCTGCAAGGGTATAAAAATGCAGACGATTGTTCATTAAGCCATCGAAGAATTTAAAGCAAAAATTCTTCAATTACCGGCAACAGAAACATCTTTAGAAGAGGTTGATCGTATACAAAAGCTAATCAGGCACCAAGCAGCGGTTGAGGAATCTATGTCAAGAACCTTCAAACACATATATCCAGAAAACAAAATTTACTTATAAAACGGTAATTGATAATTTATGGAAACAAATTGAAAGTCTTTATTTTGAAATCCTCAAATTATGTATAACACCGATTTATCTCCGCGGAAGAAGCAATGTTGTAACTCTGACATCCATATGCTGAACCTGTTTCAGTAGCCACCAATCATGCGGTTTCGACAATCTCTTCGATACAGTTGCCAAATGTTTCCATTCCAAAATTTGATGGAAGCTATCTAAAACGACAACAATTTCATGACATTTTTAATAAAATGGTTCATGAATCAGCGATACCAAAAATACAAAAAATGTGGTATCTTAAAGCGAATCTTTCTGGAGAAGCAAAGGTTAGTCAGGCATTTAGAATTAAAAGAAGTTAATTATGACACTGCCTGGACCATGCTTAAAGAACGCTTCAATAATAAGCGGGTCCTTTCGACTGCAATATTTGAAAAATTCTTTGATCA